TACCTACACAATGTTCGGAGGTGGACACGGGACGGGAAAGGAATACATAGTAAGGAAGGGAAAAGTAGAAAAAAATGACAAAATTCAAAGGGGTGATTGAAAAAGAGACTGAAATTAGAGGAAAAGACGGAAAGAACTGCAAGTCAAATATGTAAATTATTAATTCAGGCCGAACAGGATACACAAGGATTTAAAACACAATAGGATTTGGATAAAGAAGTCATAGGAGAAGAATGGGATGAAATGTGGGACCAAAGAATTAGGAAGAATATGTCTGTAAGGAGAAAAGGAAAATGTTATAAGGTCATATGGAAGTGGTATTTAATACCGGCAAATCTGAATATAATAAATAAAAATGTATCATCCCTAGGCTGGAGGTGTAAAAAAGAGAAGGGGACGGATATACATACGTGGTGGTCATGTGAAGTAAGAAAATGGAAGCACATTTTTAAAGAAATAAGGGAAATAATTGGATTAAATATTCAAATGTCCCCGTCGGTGGTTTTATTGAATTTGGTTAAGAAGGATCAATGGTTGAAAGAAAATAAGGACTTGATAGTAAATATGATTAAGGCAGCAAGGTTAATTTTTGCAAGAAACTGGAAAAATGATAACTCAATTTAGAGGAATGGTACAGAGAACTATGGGATATGACTATTAATGATAAACTGACAAGTGATATGAAAATAAGAAGGGGGTTTATCAAAGAATAATGGTTTTAAGAAAATATGGAGTGTATTCTTGGAATATGTATTTCGGAAAGGGAAGGGGTATATGCCGAGGGAAGAAACAATGACGTTTTGGAGAGAAAATGCACTGAATGAAATTTAAAATATTATTGATACTAGCCCTGGGGCCGACGGTGGCACTGGTGTATCATGTAACTGTGTTTTATTGTGGTGTTAGGTTTACGTTATTTAGGTCGGATGTTTGTTTAATAAATTTCTAAAAAACTACAAAATGCTCTTCCAAAGTCCTTCAATGCTATTCAGTGTACTCTAAAGTGTTTGGCTGGATAACAATGTGTTAGGGTGATAGCCAGAACAACTGGCCCCTGTACACACAGCAAGGAAGAATGAAGAATAAATCCCGCCAGCTGTTTCTGAATATCAAACCTCTGTTCTTTACCTTCTCTGGACCACCACAATCCCAGCATGCATTGCCACCCCCTCCCCAAACATACACAGAGATCTCCCCTCCCTTAAACACACATCCATCCATCCGTCACTGCAAATCCACAGCACTCCAGGACCAATGAGACTGTTTTTTTTGGGGGGGGGCATGTAAGTTACAATTTAGTTATCCTTCTATTAAGAGGAATGTGGTAAGCTGGACTCGCTGCAGTGCACGATGGGAAGTTTTAACAACACCCTATTAGCTCCAGGTGAGCAGCACCTTATATTAAGTGCAATGTGGTGAATTGGGTTCCTTGCAATGCCCGGTGGGAGACGAAGTTCTAATATAATCCTATCCCACCCAATTTGCTCTTGGGAAGAACTACATCTCCCAGTGAGCAATGGGAAAGCAACTGGTTTACCATAAAGCATCTTATAGCAGGACATTTAAGTATTTCTCATAATACAGGGAAAGGAGGTTCAAGATGAGCAGTGTTAGGTTTCATGTATGTGTGAATGCCTCCCCCCCCTCTGCTCTGTGTGGCTGCCCGCCCGGGGAGACCCAGGTTTTGGGGAGAATGCCGTGATTCCCAAGGGAAGGGGTGCAAGGCGGAAGAACACGCCACGCCATGCAACCTAACTACCGGATCCCAGAGGCCGAGCTCCCGCTGGCTCATGCGTGTGAACCCCGTGGTGAAGATCAGTCCGTCGCGGGTGAAGACGGCGCGCATGGGCCTCATCCCTTCGTGGGGTGCAAATTTCTCCTGGGGCAGCAGGGGAAAGAAAGGGTTAACTGTCTCCAGAGGAAGGAAGGAAGGAAGGAAGGAAGGAAGGAAGGAAAGGAGAGCTGTTTCTGTTTAGAAAACCTTATTGAGTGGTCCCCTAAAACCAATCCTCACTCACCACAGGCGACCAAGCTTGCATCTTACCTGCGAATGCAAGGAAAATGTTGGCAGGCCAATAATGGAGGGGGGGGAATAAAAATAATATCAAACATTACTGGGGAGTGGGTTCGAATTTGCTCTCCTCAGTCTTCTGCGTCTTCATCCCTCCCTTCTCTGGATACACGCACAGGCAAACACGCACACAGACGCACCCCAGGCCTTTTTCCCCACCCCACCCCTCCTCTGCCAGGTGCGAGGGCCGGAGCCCTACCAGATCCCACAGGGCCAGCTGCCTCTCGCTCATCTTGCTAAAACCAGTGGTGAAGACCTTGCCATCCGCCATAAAGATGGCCCGGACGGGGCGGGATCCCTCGTGCGGCTTCGATTTCTCCTGGTGGCCAGAGTTAGCAGGGTTAGGAGGGAACACACAGAAACACAGACACAACGAGGCAACCGTTAGTTGGGTCAGTTGCACGACGCTCAAGCTCCGGAAAGCTGACTTGGCCTGCTGACAACGCCAGGATGGACCCCTGGGATCACCTATGGCAAGTTAAACTAAGTTCCAGGAGACCACCCCGGAACGTTTCCCAATCAGGAAAAAGACCTCAAACCCCCCACCCCCAAAAAAGGAACTTTTGCAAGCTCTGCCCAACACAGTGCCACCATTTCAAAGGGAGGAGCAGGGTGCCAGAAGGCTGGGCCTTGGGGGAGGGGGGGCTGGCGCAGGCGGAGCGTCGACTCACGGCGACCACCAGGCGTTGCCGGGGGTCAACGACACGAAGGCGCTTGTCCTTGCAGGTGGTGAGGAAAAGGCTGCCGTTGCGGTTCCAGCAGACGTTGTAGATGAGGTCACTGTGAAGGTCGTCCAGGGTCAGGAGCGCCTCGCCCGTGCCCACGTTCCAGAGGATGATGACGTTGTCACACCCTGTGAGACGGAAGAGGAACAGCGCCTCAGATAAAGGTCACATCGTTCCAAGGAACCCATTAGACACCTTAAAATATCTTCTTATCTCCGAGCCCTGATCCCTCCGAAGATATTTTAAGGTATATTAAATCAAGGGTTCCTTGCAACAATCTCCCGATGGTCTTATCTCCGATCCCTAATAGGAGATGACTGTACCAGGAGATAAGAGCATCAGGAGATGACTGTACCAGCTCTGAGGGTCTCAGGACACAGCAAAATGCATGGATCTGGGGTTGCGGGTCTTACCTGCGCTGAGTAGGATGTTGCGGGCCGTGGGGTGCCAGGTGATGATCCCCACGCGCTTGGAATGTCCTTCCAGGGTGACCACGGGCTCCGTCATGTTGCGCACGGGGAGGTAGTCAGGGATCTGCCATACCTGGTGGTGGTGGTGCAGACAGAGAGCAATGCCACCAACGCAGGCAACACAGTCAGAGTCAGGAAATTTTGGACAACAATTCCCAGATGCCACAGCTAGTATGACTAGATCACCTAGCAGGATTGTGGGCAAATTTCTCTGTCTCTCTCTCTTGGCCTAAACTACCTCACAGGGGTGTTAAAAGAACACCCACAGATTTCATAAGTGATCGGAGATAAGAGCGAACCAGTGATTGGAGATAAGAGTGAACCAGTGCTTGGAGACACAACCAACTGGGATGGCCAGGGGCATGGGGAAGTGGGGGAATTTCTGGGCACCCAGGGCAGGGGCTACACAAAATAAGGAAGGAGGGCTTCCTTCACTGACCCTCCATCGACCAGATGGGGAAACTGCAGGCCCGATCTGGCCCAAGTCCTGGGCTGACCTTCGCTTTCCCTAATACTCAAGCAGGAAGGCGGTTGGTTGGTGGGGAATCTTATACGCTGCCCTCTGTTTCTTGGCCGGCGAACGAACGAAGGATTAAAACCAGAGCTGGCAAAAGTTTCCTTTTTTGGAACACATTCCCCAGAATCCCCCACTCCAGGATGGCTATATTATAAAAGACATTTAGATTTTTCTTCTTCTTCTAGGGAGTCTTCTTCGCTTGTGCTTTGTGCAAAAACATCGGAAAGGAAAGCATTTGGAAAAGGAAGCTTCCGCCCCCCCCTCCCTGGTTGCTTTTCTTCCCTTCACCCCCAATGTGGCTCTCCAGAAATCTGCCCCCACCGCGCGCGCACGGCGGCTATTCTTAGATGCTGAGTCGTGGTGCACCGTGGAGGCTATTCTTAGCCCAAAAATGCTGCATCATACCTTGGAGGCGGCCGCCAGCTCCAGGAGGAGGGACCCGGCTTTGTTATAAACAGGCCCGGCTGTTCTTTTCCAGTGATTTAAAGGGAAACCTCCCCAACGATAGTTTGGGGGGCTCGGGGGGGGGGGAAGAGGCCAGGTAAGAAATGCAGTTCGAGTCCCCCGGGAACATAAAACAAACAAGCTGAAAACACCCCTAACATGAAGCTGTAAGGATTTTTTCCCCTTCCATTGAATTCAAATAAACCAATCTGCGGTTTATTATTCCTGCGTCTAAATCACAGCTCCTGGTCTCTTGTCTCACGTGACATCCGTCCAAGGGAGGGTTTCGGTCTGACTAAAATTCGGGAGTTGTGGGTTTGAAACCTCGCTCAGGCATGAAACCCAGTGGGTGAGGGTGGCCTCACGGATACATTGAAACGTCCACCTTATTTTCGTCTCTAAATATAAAGTGCAACACGGGGTGCCTTAGAAATAAAAAAGCATGGAATATAAATAGAAGCACCCACACGAAAACTATAAATCATTGAGTCATAAAGGCAGGCCAATGTCGAGAGATGAACGGCAGAGGACATAACAAAACAAAAAGAAAACCGAACCAACCACAGGGTTTCCAAACACACCGGCTTCCAAAGCTCTGGATGTCCTAATAGGGCACCTGCTTGAACCCTCACTTGCTGTGGCCCCTCGCTTACCATGACCGTTGTGTCTTCAGAGGCGCTGGCGATGACGTTGTCATTGTGGGGACACCAGTCGATGTCCAGGACGGGGGCCGTATGTCCAGCGACCAAGGGAATATTCTTGTCCACACGGCCGGTCTGCAAACACAGACAAAGTCACGGGAGTTTTTCCGGAAGGGGTCCGTTTGAAGGGCCAAATCCACCCGAGGCTCCCTGCTTGGATGTGCCGTTTACACATGAGGGAGCGAGGCCTTCTAAGCCAAGAAAAAGCACACTGGTGGGATCCCCTGAGGGCACCTAGTCCACCCCTGTTCAAATCAGGGGAATCCGGAGGCAGAGCGGATGGTTCTTCTTTGGGCGTGGGATCGCCCAAAGAGATCTGGAGCTTTCATTCCACAGACAAAGTGGTATTTTCCCCCCCTTGCCTAGCCTACCTCGAAGGGCTGTTGTGAAGAGTGAAAAGAGGATGCAGAAAAATGGTGACTCTTGCCCTGAAATCCGTGGAAGAAGGATGCTGGTGTTGGTAGTAGTTTTAAATCAAATTAATACCCCGTTTCCCCAAAAATAAGCCTTAACCTGAAATTAAGCCCCAGTATGATTTTGCAGGATGCTCATCATATAAGCCCTACCCCAAAATTAAGCCCCAGTTAAGTCAAACCCCGCCCTCCACCCTTGTGCAGCCACCAGAAGAAGAGGACAGGACTGTCTTCGAATAAACGTTCATGGTTGTACATTTAAAAAATAAAAATAAAACATCCCTTGAAAATAAGCCCTAATGAGTTTTTTTGGAGCAAAAATTAATATAAGAACCTGTCTTATTTTCGGGGAAACAGGGTAAATAAAGGTATAAAGGCTTTGCCTACCTTCTAGGGGTTTGCTTACTGTTATTCCAGGGGGGTCTTTTGACCCTTTCCGCCCCCCCCCATCCCCAGGCTTGTCATATAACCTTAAAGGGAACTAGAAAATACAGCAACTCCTTTACACGAAGAAGGTTGCGCATAAAAGCTGGGGGGGGGGTCCGGATGTTGTTGGACTCAAAACGCAGCGGCGCAAGGAAGCCACAGTTTGCCCAGGAGCATCATGCGTGACCTTGAGCCAGCCTGGAGGGGGGGGCTGCCCTCCCCTTCTCACGGGCTTAAGGCCCCACTCAGTAAACATCCCAGCTGGAAATTTGAGCTCTGGAAAAATTTAATGCCTCCCGCCGCCCTCCTGACGGATTTTAATTGTTCCCGCTGTGACTCATGGGGTATTGTGAGCAGATCCCCGCCAACTGGCGCAGTCCGTCTCTCTGCTCTGAGACAGGGTGCCAAACAGTGGGCGATCCTGGCATAGGTGGAAGAAGGGGGGGGGATCAGGATCCGGCCAGGCGTTTCCCGGAGCCATGCCTGGCTCCAAAGGCAGCTGAAGAAAGCAAGCGGCACCAAGCCGGGGATGAACTACATCTCCCATGGACAAGAGCAGGACGATGTGTGTTGTAGTTGAAAATATTGGGAGGATCATTTTGGGGCCTGAGCTTAATCAGGGTGCACTGGGGGGCAGATTTCGGCTCACCCGGCCCCAGGAAACCCTCCGGAAGGCGTTTCCAGGGGGAAAGGAGTTGCACCAGAGTAAGCCCAGAAATCCGAAGGGATCGCCTTCCAAAAGCAGATTCAGGCTAATAAAAGGATCCGGGTTTTGTAAGGGTATAATATAGATGTGATGAGTAAACAGCTGCTCAAATCCTAGTGAGTCTTTACTACGCGCCTTGTTACGCAATTGACGTAAATCACGGCTGCGAATTTTTGCAAGTTAAGATATCTGTGTGACTCACAACAGAAATACACCAGCATCAGTTCCTCGATTTCTAGGCATTCGCCACCAAGATTTACACCAACAGCCTTGGTCCCCTTCACAAGTGTATTTCTCTGACCGATCACTATTCATTGATTGCTGAGATTTCTTTTTCTTTTTCTGTTATTAGTAATATTCACTATCATATTCCTTTCTCTTTCAATGAATCCTTTTTCAATTTTTCAGTGTTATTTATTTCTTTATACATTATTTTTAAATATATGTATATTTGTATACTTATTGTTCTTAGCTTTAATATTGCCTTTTAATGCTCTTTTAATATTGCCTTTTAATGCTCTTTTATACTCATTGCTCTTAGCTCTAAATATTGTCTTTTAATGTTGTTAACCATTGTTGTCTAGTCATTGTTTCCAACATTAAATATTGACTTCCAACGTTGCAAGCCACTTTGGGTCCTTTTCAAGGAGAAAGACGAGGTAAGAATATTTTAAATAGAAACAGAAAGAAAAGACAGTATCTAGAAGCCAAAAACAGTAAGTATACAAATATTTGAAAGGACCAAACAAATACAGTAACACATTATATTATATGTATCAGGTTTTTTAAAATGTAAGGAATGCTTTTGAACACATTCATGGAGAAATCTAGGGAAAAAAACATAAGCAAATAGGGAGGGTAAGAAAATCAAGGATTTGTAAGGTTTCAGCAGTACATTTTATAAATAAAAACTTTGGCCGCATAATCTGGAAAAGATCAAGCCTGTTTATGGTTGAAAGGCAGGGTGTGAACTTCCATAAATAAAAACAAAATAAGCAAGCAGCTAAAATAAGCTATTGCTATATTTAAAAAGAAACACCTGATTTTCATTCTGATATGTTAATGTCATAGGCGTGCTATGCTTATTAAAAAGTCATTGGGGGAGATATTAACGATCACAGAAGCTTTTAGCAATCAGCGTTAGCTTTAAATTAAGAAATTAAACTTCTCTCTGCTCTCTCTTTCATTTTCCCAAAGACGCCCCTGTGACTGAAAACTTGATTATCAATAAATGCTTTTTATTGGCTCTAAGTAGCTATTCTAGTTAACGGGCTCTAGTTTATGGGCGTTTAGTTAGGTGGATAAAAATAGCCCCAGATTAATAGCAACTGATTAATTCTTTAAATTGGTTTGGTTGATAACCCCAAATCTTAATTCCAAAATTACACTTTAAAAGCGTGTTTTTGTTTTTTAATTGGATGGGTTTTAGGTTTGAAAAAGTTTCTTCCTTTGTGCTGACAGTTTCCCCGATCTTCAAAAGTTATATATGTGTGTGTGTTTAAGTTAAACAAAATAATGCGGTTGTTCATTGGTATGCTGGTGAAATGGTTCTTATTTTTCTTATGTTGTCCATTTTAGCGTTGGCATTTATCTTTGGGTGGTATCGCACGCCTGATGATTATCCCACGTGTATGATGATGCCACCTTGGCTATGCACATCCTTGTAGATGAAGGACCATTTATAAATTCAGGACAGAAAGGAAAATGAAAGAGGCTTTCCGCTTCAGGGGGTGGCGTGTGGCTTCTTTTCTACGCTAAGTGGCTGCCCCGTCATCCGTTAAATAGCACACAAATATGTTGCACATAGTAAACTTCTCATCCGTTCCAGAGATTGAACGGCTGTTCAGCCCAGAGGGAAGGAAGGCGCATGTCCATCCCCATTTTTACAAATGTGCCGAGCTTCTCCCAAGATTAAGGAGCAGTGGTACTTAAAAGATCATCGTTTGGGGAACGAGGTGAGTAAAACTAGGGATGCACCTTTTTTTTTAATTCTGGGAGAAGCTCATGTGACAGAAATATGCCCTCCACACAAAAATAAACCAATTTCTATATTAACCCCCCCACCCCGCAGGTAGAAAGCTAGTTTAGTCTGCTTCTTGACAAGCTAGGCTTCTATGAGCAGGGATTTATCTTTTTTTTTTTTAATGGAATATATTCCACTATGCAAACCCTAGAAAAACCACCCTGGCTAGCTTCTCTAGCTTTGGAGCCACAGAGGGTACAGTCACTCCTTGGCAAGGTTATTTTTTATATGGCATCTCAAAGGATCCCCCGACACCACACACAACTTTTCCAAGAACAAAGTGGGTTCAAATATAAGCTCCTCAGCTCAACTTCAGTGAGAGCTTCTCTCTCTCTCAATCTCCATCACGGATCTCCAACTGGTCCCCTGCCTTCGGGAGAAATGCCAGCAACCTACCTCAAAGGGTTGTTGTACGGGGAGAAAGACGGCAAAGTGCTTTCAGCGTTCCCAAAGACGTTCTCCCCCTGAAGAACCAGCCCTGCCCTTCGAACCTTCGCCCGCTGGGGAGAAAGACCGCGAAAGAGGGACTTACCTTGATCAAGGGCAACACCATAAAGGCCCCTCCACCGCCGGACTCCACGATGATGGCTAGGAACTTGGGGTTGACGGCGCAGAAGGAACTGTCCCACGTCACCTTGGAGACCCGGATGTCCTCATACATTTGGTCCGCCTTGACCGGCTGCCCAAAGACATGCCGGAATTTGCTCTGGCGAACCACCCGGCGACTCATGGCTGCGGCCCCTTCGTGGGGGATCCCCGGACCCTGCCAAGGGAGGGGTGGGGTCATCAGCCGTCAGTGGCAAAACAAAGCCAAGCCTCCTCGAAAACCAAGACAATTCACCTGCCTAAGACCCTGCGTCTTTTTCTACCTGAGGGGTGGGGCAAGCATTTTGCAAACTTGCAATATTAGCAGGCATGTGGCTGAAACCAGCTGGGATTTTTTTAAAAAACAAACTACCACTTCCAGAATCCTCCAGCTGGTTGTTCGGAATCTGGGAATGGCAGTCAAAAAACAAAACAAAACAAAAAACCCTCTCAACTTCCTGGGTTGTAAATTGTGGACTGTGAAAAGAGCCCTTTGGTAAACAATCACAAAAGACGTTCATGTGACTGTAAGTTGGGCTTGCCAAATGACAGCCAGTGGCTTATAGAGCTGAGTGGTGGAGGCCCCTGGCTGTGGAACCAGAGGGTGGGGGTTCGATTCCCCCCACCCACCCGTGAGCCTTCTTAACTGGGGTTGGACTGGATGACCCAGAGGGTCCCTTCCCGCTCTGCCATTCTAAGATGACGATTATGATGACAATTCCTTCTTATTTTTTAAAATTACTTACAGGGGGGCATGCTTGATAAGAAAAGGATGTAGAAGATGAAATGCGGAAGTCTCTTTTAAAATGCCCCATAAAAAAAAAATAAAAGAACTGGAAAAATAATTGGAAAAGTTACTTTGCCATAAATGAATAAATACTGAAAGCCTTCCTGCCCCTTCACTTTTGAAATGTAATGACAGGGTGCACTCATTAACCCCAAAATTAACTGAGCTGCAGGTCATTGCGGGACTTGTAACTCATTATTGACGTGCTTGAATTGACTATTTTCTCCCCTTGCGTTGTCTGGGTTGGTTGGTTTGTTTTTAAATTCTAAGTGTTCCCTTCCCCCCCCCAAAAAAGATTCAGAGGACTCCTGAACATTTTTGGATTATTTGGAACGTCAACCTCTGTTGTTTCTCCGCAGCTCCGCTTTGGCCAAGACAGCTGAGATTTCCTTTTTATGAATCAAAGCTCCCCAAGAATACTAGCTGGGGGATGATGGGAGTTGTAGTTTTTAAACTCTCCCCGCCAGTATGGCTTCTGCCCTGGCCGGGCACAAGATACCCCAAAACTAGAACTTGGGTTTCCCCTGTGGCAATCTTGTAAATCTGAGCAAATTCAGATTTAAATCAGGACCTCTCTCTATTGTCACATAACAAGGCGACCTCTGTATTGAATTGGTGAAGTCCTACGCCTCACACGGCCTAAACTGCACCACTTCATGTGGGGGGGGGGCTCTATTTATTTATTTTATTTATTATCCGATTTATACGCCGCTCCTCTAGACAGAGTCTACTCAGGCCGGCTTACAAAGAAGAATAAAACATTATAAGATACAATCAAATAAAAACCATCAGTATATGTAAATCAATGACATAATTATATCAACAAATTAGAAGATCAAGATGGAAAAAAACTAAAGAGAAAAAAAAAAGAAAATCAGGTGTTGACTGGAGGGAAGGCCTGCTTGAAGAGCCAGGTCTTTAAATGTGAAAACACCCAGCGAGGGTGCCAGGGTGATTTCCGGTGGCAAGGTGTTAAGAGAAAAAAAAAAAAGATAATCAGGTGTTGACTGGAGGGAAGGCCTGCTTGAAGAGCCAGGTCTTTAAATGTGAAAACACCCAGCGAGGGTGCCAGGGTGATTTCCGGTGGCAAGGTGTTCCACAGCCGAGGGGCTACTGCCAAGAAGGCCCGGTTCCTTGTTCTTTCTTTCCGGGCCTCTCTCGGCGTTCGGCCCCTCAGCCGTCTTTCCTGGCTAAAACGAGTGACTCGGTTAGATCTAGGTGGGAAAAGGTGCTCCGCCATGGATCAAGGCCCTACTTTAGGGCTTTATAAGTCATCATTAACACTTTGAAGTGGATGCGGAAACGAACAGGAAGCCAGTGCAAGGCGGCCAGGATGGGGGAGAGATATGCTGGTATTTTCTCATCCCAAGATAGGGATGCAGCTGGGCAGATGGAAATGTTCGGAGCGGGCCACAGGTCTCCATGGTGAGTCTTGTTCTTTCTTTCCGGGCCTCTCTCGGCGTTCGGCCCCTCAGCCGTCTTTCCTGGCTAAAACGAGTGACTCGGTTAGATCTAGGTGGGAAAAGGCGCTCCGCCATGGATCGAGGCCCTAAACCGTTTAGGGCTTTATAAGTCATCATTAACACTTTGAAGTGGATGCGGAACCGAACAGGAAGCCAATGCAAGGCGGCCAGGATGGGGGAGAGATATGCTAGTATTTTCTCATCCCAAGATAGGGACGCAGCTGGGCAGATGGAAATGTGCGGAGCGGGCCACAGGTCTCCATGGTGAGTCCTGGGTGCAGATGGATCCCCAAGCTGCGAACCTCACTCTTCCTGGTGAGAGTCACCCCACCCCCCAAAAAAGAGGGAGTTCCCCAAACTGCAGATGGAGGGGCCACCCACCCTCGGGACCTCCGTCTTGCCCGGGTTCGGCCTCAGCCCGTTCTCCTGCATCCTCTGCAGTGCGGCCTCCAGGCTGCTCCTGGTTCTGGTTCTGGGAAGGCCCAGGCCGAGCGTCTGCTAAAAACCATCCACGGTCACACCTCGTGGAAGCTGAACCAAGAAGAGGGGGGGTGATGGCGGCCTCTTGGCTCTCACAGTCCCCGTTTTCGGTGGAGAGACTGTGGGAATGACACCGCGGAGGGCTTGCCTGGGTGCCACGAACCAGCGGGTGGGCGCTCCTCTTTTGTTTCGTTTTCGCTCCTTCATCAGCATCCCCACACCTGGAGGGTTGCCAAAGGCTGGCAGGAAGGGGGTGAAAAATCCCCCCCTCCCAGGGTTGCATTCAGTGAGACACTACCCCCCCCTAAAAAATCAAATCTTCCAGGCCTGAGAAAGAGGGAGTTAAAAATAAAACCCTTTTTTTTTCTGCTGCATTTCTCATTCCCTCTTTGGGCCGCTTGGATTCTTACTCCGGGTCACTCAGCGCAACCGGCTCTGACTGGCAGCTACGGCACTCCTGGCCTCTCAGCCTGGGCTCTTTCCTCTTAAGCTGCCTCCCAGTCGGCGCTGTCCCGTTACGACAAACTACAACCCCCATCATCCCCCGCCACGCCGTCCGGGGACGATGGGAGCTGGAGTCCAGGGTTGAGGGTGAGAAGGCTGAAAGGTTCCTGCAC